ACCTTCAGAACACAAAGCTTGATAAAAAAAATATCTGGGGAATATAAGCTTTGAACCAAAGCCTCTGCTTATTTCAAAAAATATTCAACCAAAGTAGACTTTGCCAACTGTCGTTATTATAACTGTAACTGTTTTAGTTATTATAGTTTTGCCATCTATACTCCTACAGTCAACAGTACAAGTATGGACAGTCCATTTCAGATGTTTATATCTAATATGCTGATGATAAGAAAAAAATGCAAATAGAGCAAGGCTATCCCTTGAGTAAGTATTGTAGTTTAGCAACTTTCTTTGTATATTGAAGGTCCCAGTTCTTTTTATTAGGGATTGTGTGTTTAGTTAAGAAGGGTAGAAAATGATAACAATAGTCTGTCTTATTATGAGAAAACAAATCCAATATTCTTGTATATATTATTGCAGTTTTAAAAGAACGTATTATTTTTAGGAAATAAATTTTATTTTAAATGTACTAAATGTACTCTCAGCATACACTGTAGGACTTTCTAGAGATAGGTACTTTTTCTAGACAAGGTCAGGCTGTGCAATTAGTCTTAAGCAGTTTTCAACAACAATGCACACGTTGCAGTGCAGTATAGCCACAGCTTCTAACTGCTATTTCATAATTTTTTTCAATGCTCACTTCCCAACATACTTTGCTTGACTCCCTCCACATTTCATTCCCTTGCAAAAATCAGGACTTTCATCCTCAAATATCAACAGACACTTTCTACGCCAATAAAAGCTTCACCAAAGGCTGCTCCATGTAGAATATGTTGCATCAGTCCAACAAAGTTGCAACAGAAAAGTTGTAAAAATACAACTTCTTCAGAGGAAGTACAATCCCATCTTCAGTAATCCCAAACTGATGTTATTAGATTGTCCTGTTAGTTCATTGCAAAAATAAAAATAAAAAGCAGTTTGGTATTTGTAGGATTTAATTTGGGATTGTTTTACCTGATATCTCTCAGACATCAGTTCAGGTGTTCCATGGCATCATGTCTGTCTTGGCTAGTTATGTATAATTGGTGTAATCATCATACTGATGACTCCTCGTTCTGAACTGACAGATGATGTTTCCCAGCAGCTTCAACCTGCCAAATTCTCAAAAAAATCTTCCAAGCAGTCTCTGAAATCTCCTGAATCTCCCTGAATTCATGACTAGTGAATCATCATCAGGGTCCCACTAGCAATGCACCTAAATGTTTAATTTGAAGATCTGATCTGAAATGCTTCCCATCTGCTTCTGTGGCCTGAAATACCTTTTGTATGATAGTTGTCTAATCTGTCTCCCAAGGTCTTTCCCACATACTATTACATAATGTTCCTTGCCGTTGCAAGTTTTTTACATAAATTTATGTTCTGCTGCTGCAGGGTACAAAATATGAAACCGGATTTCAGGGAGAGCTACATCTCCATTGCTCCCAGTCAGTAATTCCCAACAGGTCTATATGCTCATCAACCATCATGTTGTAGATGGATATAATCTAATTGCCATAGACCTGACATTTACCAGAATCTTAGAGACCCAGATAATGATTCTACCCAAATCAGGACTGGGGAAACAGACTTAGAAGAAGAGACACACATGAATATGTGGATCTCCTTCAACAGCTTACTTAGTGCCCTCCCACTATTCGTGCCCCTGCCCATCACAGTCCCAATTTGGGAACCATTGCATCATCTCAACCAACAATCATTTCTTCATTTTTGTCTTCACATTTCCGAAACTCAACACGTATTCCACTGGTCTCAGCCAATCTCTGTACTTTCCACATCCAGAGCCAGATTATCCCAGATCAGAAGCTGAGGTCTAGTCTGTAACTGTTCTTCATACTCTAAGGATGGTGATAACAGATCTACTTCAAAGCTCCACAATTGCTGTTGGTAGCACTGCTTTTCATAATATTCCTCATAGCAGTAATAGCATTCTACACCGCAACACATAATTAGAGACAAGGGCAAAGCAGGTACCAGATCTTTTCAAATCCTTCCCCTGAATCTTCCTAGGTCTGCCATCAACAGATCCAATTTCCTTCTCCCCTTCTTGTGTGACCTCCAAAACAGAATGCAACATTCTAAAAATTTGATACAGTCTATGGTGCTTGTTCACATCCACTTTCTCTACTAGCAAAGTGTAAGCTAAATCCAAATGCTCAATAAACAAGTAGCTGCGGAAATGTGCACCACTGAGAAATAATTATTTTTGATACTTATTTTAATTTTTAATTAAAAGCAATTTTTGAATGTTGAGGCGAATAGTAGTGTATAAGATGCTTGATTTTTCTCTAATTAACCTTTCTCTGATACAAACAGTCTTTCAACTTTTTTTTTCAGATACATTTGGGCAGAGGCAACTGGACTACCTCACTGAATACCTTTTATCCACTACTTCTATGCTCAAAACTGACCCTACCAAGTATTATGGTCATTAAGAAACAAAAACAATTCAACTCTTATTATGTGTGGTTTGTGGATAATAAATTATAATAATGGGAATCAGGATTTTCCTAAAGTACAATATTAGACTAGTCCATGCAAAGATTAAAGCATCTTTGCAACTGGAGAAAGACATCCAAGAGTTAGCTAAGAAGCCAGTCTCCAACTTTTGAATATATAACATTTTCAACCTTGAGTGGCCAATACTTGGCTGTTTTCCTTCTTCAATGAGACATTTTCTTTTTTCTTTTTCTAAATTAAGAGCTTTGAAAAATATGATGTTTGTCTTATATTTTCACACATTGTGCTAAATCATAATATAGCCCATTCAGTTTTAGCTCAGTTTGATATATCAAAATAGTCACTCTGTATTGTAAATCATGATTTAAATTTTAGAGCTATGTGTGAATAATGATTAATCATAGCTCTTCATTTTATATATAAACATATATATGATATAGGCAGCATATCTTTATTAAGACAATAGACAAAATATGAATTTCCTATTCAAATACCATTTCAGTGTAAACTCTAGATGTCAGTAGGTTATACTTGAATACTATAATATGTATAATGTATAAGAAATAATGCTTATACTTAGCTAAGTTAGTGGATCTATTAGAAATACAAACATAACATATGTGAAGTGATTTTAAGCTTGAGGACTTGGTGAAGATGTTATATACATACTTTGTTATCTTGGTGCTGAAATAATGAGCAAAAGTGAGATAACTTTGTTTTGCTTTTTGAAGTGGAGTATACTGAGTGAAACCCAGGATGTCCCAGGTGAAAAAGCAAAATAAAATACTTCAACATCTGTGTCTTAAATGTTTATACTGTATTCCATCAGGATATTATTACATTTGGTGGAAGCCATAGTTCTCCTTTAGCTTAAAGTTCAAATACCTTAATCTGCTGCTACCAGCACTGTACTGCTGTACGCTGTACTGCTGCTATCAACACTGCAATGTGTGATAACATGATATCTGCTTATTTTCTAGAGCTTAGGTTTCTAAGATGGTCCGATAATAAGGATAAGGTGGACAAGTAGGTATCATTACTACTTTTTCCACAACAAGAAGAAGCTGTGTGAATTTTGCCATTCTAAAAATGATAGTCCACCTTTATATCCAGGTGAATGACTAGCATAAGGGAAGGGAAAGGGAAAAAGGAAAAGGGAAAAGAAAGTTTACAGCTCCACGACTGCATTTTACATGCCAATCTTGTTGTTATACTAATATGGACAGAATTAAGTGTAAAGTTTCTTGCTCAGAACAGCATTTTTAGTATGATAAATCATTACCTTTTCTAAAATTTGTCTGATTTATTCCTATCAACATTCCTATCTTGCCAATAATATTTTTCATAAGAAACTATGCTGACTTTATTTCTAGTTATGGCAATTTGTTTATAATCAAAATGAAAACACCAAAGTAAAATTTAAAGATGTACAAGGTGTCAGTTATCCATATCTTACTTAAATTAAATTTTAAATTAATTTTTGTGGGCAGCTTTTAAGATGAAATGTAGTTTGACCAAAATTACCTGCTTATTAATTAATTTTCCTATCACAATATATAAAAAAATATAGCAAAATGATCAAAAAGCAATATCCAAAAAACAAATGACCAACTGCTCATATATTGCCAAAAATGAGAGTATCTAACTTTTAATATGAGGCTATTCCTCTCACATTTATAACATCAAATAACATAAAAGTGTCTTAGCATTTATTTGTGAACAAAAAATAATACACAGCCAACTTCATAGCCAGCTAATATTTGCAGTGTACCAATATATCTTCTTCAATCACCACCGTCAGCATATGATTATAATAAGCAGATACATCATGTTGGCATACCAATAGAATTAAGATACAAATTAAGAATGTTTTAAGTTGATATATTTTAAATAATCAAATATTACAATATAATTGTTGCCCTGAGAAGAAATACTGTGATGATATATCCTTGTTATACTCCCATCTATTTGTTTCACTACAATAAAAAGAAGCATGATTCTTTATATACAAAAGGCAGTATTTTTTAAAGGTTTTATTTTGGGGAAGGTTATAAATGAAAAACAAAAATTATAAATCATTAACTTGAGGTATCAGTATTTCAATAAAAGCAGTTTAATAATAAAAATAATAGCAATTAAGCTAATGTATGTGAAAAGATACATTTTGTAAAAAATATCCTTGTTCAATAACACAAACCAATAGTGAACTTTTGATGTAGAAATTCCAGTCAAACTACCTTCTTCATTCTAAGAAAGTGTCATTGCTTAGAAGTAATATAATTACAAGCTACTATATTATATAGATTTGACATGCAAACCACCACAACATTAATATTATATTCTATAAATAATGGTGACACACTATTCTTAAAACATTAGACTACTACCTTCTTTTCTCATATGAAATGGAATCTTAATGAGCAAATGACAATCAATTCTTGTAATTGTAGATGTTATCCAGGTAAACATCCCCTGGCATAAAGTTGCAAATTAAAAATGCAAAGGCTTGCATCAGATACGATTGACTAATTAGATTAGCTTACCTTTGGCTCCATGGAAATGAAGTTGTGAGTACCTCTACTTGAGAGAACCGACCTTTTAATTGTTTTACTATGGTAAAAATGGTAATAATCCTTTAATGCTCCAATCTGTAAGAGAAAAAAGATTTTGGGGTGAGGGGTGAGGAGAAAAGAGAGGCAGAATTTATGAAAACCAGTTTACCTCTTTTTCAAAAGGTCTATAAATTATGCAATTACTACCTAGGCTGAAATGTTACTTGAACCTAAGTACTCATCTTTCAGAAAGAAAGATACAATATGAAATGGTTGACTGTCCTTGGGGCTGTAACTGTATAATTGGACATAACAACTGAACTGGCTGTTTTGTCTGTATCTATGTTTTAAATGTTTGATTTATATGCAACATTTTATGTACCAATCAAGATCCACATTAGCTTTTCTAATATGGTACTAAAATCATTCAGCTTAAGGATATTTATTGTAAAACTGTAAATATTTAATTCATGAGAAAAATTCATCTCAGCTTTGATAAGAAGTGCTTTTTAGAACTTTTGATCTTAGAAAGCAGATTAAATTATTTTAAAGACTTATTGTTTTCTAAAAGGATTTAGGAAATGAAGACATAATTTCTGAGTTGTACATCCAGTTTTTCTGTATTGAAAAAAAAACCATTTGGTCTGCAGTTCATTGCATTCATAGTCATCAGCAGGGCAAGGGAGAAGAGCCAAATGACGCATCATATCACAACACAAAACCTACAACTTACATCAGCAAGACAATATGAAACAGTAGTTGGCTGATCTTACTATGTGCTACAGAAATCATTGCCTGATATTCTATTAACAGGATGTATTTTTAATAAAAGGATTGTTACATTAAGTAAAAGAGGAGACAAGAAATTGGGCAGATTTTTTCTGGAATTTTATTTATTCCATGTCACTGTGTGTTTTTTCCAGTTGAATTACTACAAATGAAACAAGGTTTGCAAAGTGTTGGAAGTTTACCTACTACCTAACAATATTCTCCTCAATTAACCTATCTGATAAGAGATATTATTGAAGAAGCAGCTAAAAAGAAAAATAGGGGGTTTGTACCAATATCATCACTGACTTTGTAATTAACTACCAAATACTCTAGATTTCACTGCCTAGCATGTAGACTGCCCAGGTTCGAATCCCATAAAGAGTGTGGCTAGCTGATGAGGACTAATGAGTCCGAAATAGCTATACTAGTCTCCCACTTAAATCTTTAACTCTTTGTCAGCAAAAAGAATTCTGAATTTGTAATGTATCGCAGTTGCAACTTGAGCTTGCTTAACGCCCCTAGTTGGGGGGCTGCAAGGCAAAAGAAATTATAAAAAAGTAGAACTGCAGTATAGCAGTCAAAATGCCAAGGTGTAATCAATCAGACCGGTCTGTCTGAAAAACTTCCTGTATATGCTCCCTTGACTCGGCTGACAAAGAGGGGAGGAGAGCCTGTGGCCTGGGGGTTTATATATATGAAGATGACGAATGGGACTTCGTCGAAACGTCGCCAAGACATTTCCAATTTGACGCGGGAGAAAACCCGACTATATATATATATATATGTTTTCTGAGGTTTTCGCGGGTGTTTGTATGTAGGTCTTTGGTTATTCGGGTTTTCTCCCATGTAAAATTGGAAGTGTCTTGGCGACGTTTCAACGAAGTCTCATTCATCATCTTCAGGCTGGTGGTTTCGGCTTCACGCTTCTAGGAGCAATGTGTGGTTGTAGCTGTTTCCTCCTTTTAACTGCCAGTGGGGGTATGAACTGATTGGATGAAAGCTTGGCTGTGTTCTGATTGGATGGAGGTGTGTTCTGATTGGTTAGGAGCTTGGCTGGGCTCTGATTGGCTGGGGGGTTGGCTGTGCTCTGATTGGCTGGGGGGTTGGCTGTGCTCTGATTGGCTGGGGGAGTGTTCTGTTTGGGTGGGGGCTTTGTTGTGCTCAGGTTAGTCTGAGTTGCCGGGGGGGTTAAAATGGTGAGCTGCATTGCTATTTTTTGGCTTCGCGTTCATTCAACTCAACAGCCTACATACACCTCATACACCTCAACAGCCTACACCCCAAAATACAGTTCACCATGGAAACAGAAGCTAATAACCAACTTCCCTTCCTAGATGTCTTAGTCTACAAGAAATCCAATGCCTCCCTAGGACACACCGTCTACCAGAAGAAAACACACACAAACCGCTATCTGCATGCTCTCTCACACCACCACCCAGCACAGATCAACTCCGTAGCCAAGACACTCATCTCTAGAACAAAACGCTTAGCTGATGAACAACATTTAAAAACTGAACTACACACTCTCACTAATGTACTTACATCCAATGGATTCCAACGAAATAAGATTACCAAACTAATCCAAAAAGAAACCCCCACTAAAACCCAAGACAGAGAACAAGAAAACGGCAAAGCCCTCCTCCCTTACATAAAAGGCACCACAGACAGATTCAGTAAGATCCCCCACAAACACAACATTAAGACAGCATTCTGCCCAAACAGAAAAATATTCATCATCTTAAGAAACCCCAAAGATAAAATTGAATTAGAAAATCAAGGAGTATACGAAATCCCATGCCCCACTTGTCCCACCACATACATCGGATAAACCAACAGAAGAATAAGTGCACGCATTGAAGAACATAAGAACTCAGTCAAAAAAGAGGAACCAACTTCTTCCCTGGTCCATCATCTTAAAATCACAGGACATGAAATTGACTTTAAAAAGACCAGAACTATCGCCAAAACTGAACATTTTAATAACAGAATAATCAGAGAAGCCATTGAGATAGAAAAACGCCCACACAGCATGAACAAACGAGATGATACCTCCCACCTACCAGCCATCTAGAAACCCGCCCTGATTGACAAACGACTCCCTAACACAAAAAATGACACCAGACCCACACTCACAAAAACCACACAGGATATTCACCATCACACATCCACGCAAAAAGCAAACCCAAAGCCACACCGATGATGAGGCACGACCACAAACCAGAAACCACAGCTGCATCATTAGCCACTTTAAACCCCTCCAATCTATACATGAAGCAAACTGACACCCACCATGAAGATGAGGCACGACCACGAACGCGAAGCCAAAAAATAGCAATGCAGCTCACCATTTTAAACCCCCCAGCAACTCAGACTAACCTGAGCACAACAAAGCCCCCACCCAAACAGAACACTCCCCCAGCCAATCAGAGCACAGCCAACCCCCCAGCCAATCAGAGCACAGCCAACCCCCCAGTCTCCTAACCAATCAGAACACACCTCCATCCAATCAGAACACAGCCAAGCTCTCATCCAATCAGTTCATACCCCCACTGGCAGTTAAAAGGAGGAAACAGCTACAATCACACATTGCTCCTAGAAGCACGAAGCCGAAAGCACCAGCCTGAAGATGACGAATGAGACTTCATCGAAACGTTGCCAAGACACTTCCAATTTTATGTGGGAAAAAAACCGAATAACCAAAGACATATATATATATATATATATATATATATATATATATATATATATATATATATATGTATATGTATATGTATATGTATATGTATATGTATATGTATATGTATATGTATATGTAATCATAATATTCACTGAGTCAAGTTTGTCTCCCAGTAACCTGATGGGAATCAGTATGTGGGACCATGGCTTATCATTAACTTCTTCCAATACATATTTCAATATTTCATGGAGGTCACTGATCTTAAGTCCTAACCAGACCGATTGGTATTTCTAAGCCTTAGAGTAAAAAAGAAAAGTTCTTTAATCCTGAATTATTCAGTTCAATATTATTGAATACAGTTTGCAGTTTGTTTAGAGATCTTATCTGTTCATTCCATAGAAAAAGATATATTCATTCTCTGGAATGAAATACTGCATGTATATTGTTCCATCTTATTTAACACTGAGAAGCAACAACTCTGTATTTATTTTCATGTGAATCATGAAGATAAAGTAACCCAAAACAGGTTATATAATCAGGCATTCATTTATTATTTTATCTTCACCATAAGATATATACAGATAATCCTCAACTTACACAGTCTGCTTAGTGACTGTTTCAAGTTACAACTTCATTGAAAAAAGTGACTTATGACCTTTTTTCACACTTATGAACATGGCAGCATTTCCATGGCCACCTGATCAAAATTCAGACACTTGGCAACTGGCTTGTATTTATGACAGTTGCAGTGTCCCAGGGTCATGTGATCACCTTTTGCGATCTTCTGACAAGCAAAATCAATGGAGAAGCCAGATTTACTTTACAACTTCTGTGATTCACTTAACAATTGTGGCAAGGAATGTTGTAAAATGGGACAAAACGCACATAAAAAATGTCTCACTTAGCAACAGTGAGACATTTGTATGTGCATGTCAAACAAGCTTATAACATTCATTGTAATTGATACAGCAGACTACAAAAATAAGCCATTTTAACTTGGAACACTTTATAATATCAATAGACTATCAATAAACATTTTATTCTTTTAACTTGCATTTATTATTTTTATAAATAACTCAAGGCAGTGAACATACCTAATATTCCTATTTCCTCCATAACAACAACCCTTTGAGGTGGCTTGGGCTGAGAGGGAGTGACTGGTCCAAAGTCACCCAGGCAGCTTTCATGGCTAAGGTGGGACTAGAATTCACGGTCTCCTGGATTCTAGCCTGGTGTCTTAACCATTAGACCAAACTGGCTTCCTATCACTCCAAATGTCTTGTCAGAATAAGTGCAATATTTTCATTTTATTAACCTCAGAAGAAAATTCAAGTAAACAATTTACCTAGACAGTCACCCAATGCAATTAACAAGAAGCATTTATTTATCAAAGTTGTACATTGCCACAATGTCTACCTGCAATAGCCACAAATCCAAAAAGACTGGTAATTAGTGGACTTATGTCTTTGGAATAGTGCCATCCCTTTAAGAGTTCAAGGGATGGCATTATTGTTTGCAATAAACAAAATGTAACTTCATCTTGCTTGGATTCAACTTTAGATGGCATCATCCCATCCAAACCATGATAGCCTCAAGTCAATGGGACAGAATTTTGGCACAATCTCCTGATGGGCCTTGTGAGAGGAAG